CTACTTTATGATTGTCAAATATTTCCTGCCACTCTGTAGGTTGTCTTTTCACTTTTTAATTTTGATTAAGTCCAGTTTATGTATTTTTTCTGTTTCTTGCACTTTTGGTGTCATGTCTAAGAACGCTGGCCTAATCCAAGGTCACAAAGAGTTATGCCTATGTTTTCTCCTAAGAGTTTTATAGTTTTAGCACTTATATTTGTGTCTGTGATCCATTTTGATTTAATTTTTGTATGTGGTTTGAGGTAGGGTCCAACTTCATTCTTTCGCATGTGGAGATCCAGTTGTCCCAGCATCATTTGTTAAAGAGACTGTTCTTTCCCCATTGAATCGTCTTGGCACCCTTGTCAAAAATCAATTGACTATAAATGTAAAAGTCTATTTCTGGACTTCCAATTCTATTCCATTGATCCATATGTCTATCCTTAGGCCAGAACTGCCTTCCTTGACTCTTTCCTTTTGCTAATCCACATCCATCTCTTCCACAACAATGAATTGGCATGTTTGTCTGGGACTGATGTTGTGCTTGGAGCTGGGCATACAGTGTTGAGCAAGGTAGCAAGGTGGACACTGGCCCTATCTTCATGCACCTGACATCCTCCTGGGAGTGGGTAGACAATATATAAGTAAAGAGATAATGAAAAAGGTGATTTCAGAGAATGATTAATGCTTTGGTAAACGAGAGAAGGACATGCGATAAAGTGGCCAGTGGAGGGCTTCAGAGGGGCCTGTTTTACATTAGGGATGTTGGGAAGGCTCTCTGAGGGTATAGCATTTGAGGTCTGAATGAGAAGTCAGCCCTGCAGAATTTGGGGTAGAGTGTGCCAGGCAGAGGAGTGGATTTGTCTAAAGATGAAAGTGATATGCAGAAGAGGGCAAAATAGAGACTTGCAGAATGATAGAGCCAAAACCCTGATTAAACTATGCCTGAATTCCACCTACCTCTAGACTTTCCCATCAATGGGCCATAGCGACCTCTATAGGACAGAGTAGAACTGCCCCATAGAGTTTCCAAGGAGCGTCTGGTGGATTTGAACTGCTAACCTTTTGGTTAGCAGCCATAATGCTTAGCCACTATACCACCAGGGTTTCCAATGAGCCATTACTTTCCCTCTGTTATTCAAACCTACTTGAATTGACTTTTCTGTTGCTGGCAAGCAATCAAAGCTGCACTAAAGGAATTGCTTGTCTCCCCTACTAGACTGTAAGCTCTGTGACAACAGAGAGAGTATTTGTCTCATTCAAGCTTGCAAACTGGCAATTCCTATATGTCACTTTTTGGAGGGGAGGAGCAAGGTTTAAAAATCAAGACATTTCACAAAGAAATCTCTATTTTTTGCCTTTCTTAAAAAATTAGAAAGCTTGGCACTAGGTGCTAGCATTTCTGCACGGCTACTTGGGTGGGGCTGAGAATGGCCCCCTTTAAATAAGGAAGCCATTTTGAAGATGAAACTGACACGGGAAGGTAGAGCAGAGAGGATTACCTTTTCCAGAAAAAGTTTTCTGACACCCTGTGTGCTTGGTTCATTTATATTACATGCCTGCCCCCTACAAGTGAGTGAGTTTGTGATTCCCTTGATACATAACAGAAACTGATGGCATAGTGGTTAAATGCTATGGCTGCTAACCAAAAGGTCGGCAGTTCAAATCCACCAGGCACTCCCTGGAAACTCTCTGGGGCAGTTCTACTCTGTCCTGTAGGGTTGCTATGAGTTGGAATCGACTGGCAATGGGTTGATACAGACCCAATGCCACGAATGAATGAATGAATGAACTAACGAATGAACAAAGAACACACCCATGCATGTATTTGTACTACTCCTCCTATCTTTAACGTGGTACATAGCACCTAGTAAGTGTCAAATACTTTCATCTGATTGCTCTTCTAAGGACATGTGAGTTGAATTAGATGAATTAGATTGAATTAGATGTTGTGTGGATCTCAATTTAAACAAATACTTACATGCAGTGTTTATTTCTGCTGTGATATTTATTTGCCTGTCTTAGCTGGGCAAATTGACCTCAGGGTGCTCAAAATCAGGGTTCTCTTTAAAATCAACCTTTACATTTTCGGTCCACTAGAGGGCGACAGCACCAACCAGTAGAAAGAGCAACAATTCAAGGTGGTGGAGTGAAACTAGGCTTTCCCCATCATTGACACATCGCTGTATTCCTCCAGTAACGCTCAAGTTCAGGAAGGGAGTCACTTTTTGTTTGTTTGTTTGTAATTTAATGTTCTGAATAGATAATGCACTCTGCAGTTCAAAAAAAAGGCATACGGTGAAATTTTCCTCCTATCCCTGCCGCATGTCCACCACAAGTACGACTGTTATTCTTTACTTGTGTGCTCTTCTAGTGGTTTCTATGAACATGTAAGCGAATACAAATACCTGTTTACCCGCCCCTTCATTTTACCCAAAACGTAGCATTATATAGACACTGTTCTGGACCTTGCTTTGTTTATTCACAATGTATCTTATAGAATGGTCCATATCGCTTCCTTCCTTCTTCCCTTCCTCCTTCGTCCCCCCCCCTTCTTTCTTTTACAGCTGCATTGTACTCCATGGTTATAAAGTTGTACTCCTGTATTACCTATTCATCTAGTTCCCTACGGATGGGCATTTAGGGTATTCCTTACCTTCTGCTATTAGAAATAATGCTCAATGAATAACCTTGAATATATTTTGCACGGCTACAGGTGTATCTATATCGGTGACTACAAACCCCAGCTGCGCAGTAGAATCACCAGGGAGGCTTTAAAAAAAATTTTGGATACCCAAGCCACACCATAGACCAATTATATCAGCATCTCTGAGGATGGGACCAGGGCATCAACCTTTTTAAAAGTTGCTCAAGTGATTCCAGCGTATAGCCAGGCCTGGGCACCATTGACCCTATAGGATAAAGTGATTAGTTGAAGGGCACAGGGATTTGCAATTTTGCTAGATATTGCCAGATGGCCTCCAGAGAGGTTGTGCCAGCTTACACTTCTATCAGCAATATATGAGAGTGACTATGTCTTTACAGCTCCACCAACAAAGTAGGCTTCTAAACTTGTTGATATTTGCCAATCTGTTAGATTACAAAAAAAAAGTATCTCTGTCTTGCTTTAATTTGCATTTCTCTTATTAGAGGTGGAATATCTTTTCATATGTTTAATAACCATTGATTTGTCTGGTTATATCCTTTGCCCATTTTTCTTTCTTTTTTTAAAATCATGTGTAGAAAGTTGACCTATCAGCAAGACTAGTTCTTTGTGATTTGAGTTGCTGATACTTTTCACTGCTTTGTCTTTTGTTTCACATTTTGCATAGGTGGCATTTTTTTTCCTTGAAGAAGACATTTTATACATTTGAAGTTATCAATCTCTTGTTATGGCTTCTGGATCCTGAGTTGTGGTTAGAAAGGTCATTCCCACTTTTGTGGTTTTTCCTTTTTATGTTAAAACTTTGATCCTTTTGGAGTTTGCCCTGATCTATGATGTGAGGTATGGATCCATCTTTGTTTTTCCTTCCAGTTATTCTCATCTTTATCAAAGAGTGACATAGGAACCACTTTGGGCTGCATCTAACTGGAATTTCTTATCCTTGTCTTTTTATTTATTTATATGCAACACCTGCTTCTACTTTCCTGAAATTGTGGTCCCATCCACCCCACTGATCTACCTATCCATTGATCAGTTGATTCATTCATTCGTTTGTTCTTTTCTTTTTTCTTTTTTTGCTTGCTACTGAGAGTTCCAATATTAATTGGATATTGTCCCTGACCTCTTGGGTTTCCATTTAGGATTTATTTTAATTATTTAATAACCAACAATGATGACCTTTTATTGAATGTCTAATATATTTGTATACATGAATCATTTCAATTAAACCTCAAAACCAGCCTATGGTGTCAATACTATCATCATTCCCAATTGAGGAGGGTAATTTGGAGCAGTTTGAGGCTTGCCCAAGGGCACACAGTTAGAAGTTGCAGAGCTGGGGTCCATTCAGGAAGCCTTTCCACCTACCTTTACCCTGTGATGTCGTTGGTGGATTGACTGAGGAGGGAATGACTGAAGGAGTCAGTGAGGAAATGAGGGAAGATGATGAGTCAGCTCTTGCTCTCCGAGGAACCCAGAGGGGAAGATCAGACATGCATGCTAATAACAAGAGCACAGAGCAAACAGCCATCCCACCAGCGTGTTGGAAGCCATCCATGTCCTACCCTTCCTATTCAAAATGCCTAATTCTTCCAAATCCTCCCCACCTAGAAACCACAGAGCCAAACACTGGGGTGGGGGCAGTGGGGGGCCGTGTGCTCAAGTTTGCTGTATTACATCACCCACTCAGAGGTCCCCCGTGGACCTTTGCAGCCCAGCAGCCTTGGGGTGAAGGAGGGAGAAGACTGAGGAAGGATGAGAGAGAGAAGGGAGTAAGGAGGACAGAGACGAGGGGAGGGAGGAGGGAATAAGGAGAGAGTAGGGAGAAAGGAATAAGGAGCTGGGAGAAGAGGAGAGGGGGGAGGGAAAAGCGAGGAGGGAGAAGGGAAGAGGGAGAAGGGAGAGTAGAGGAGGGAGAAGGTGTAGGGAGGGCAGACTGGGAGAAGGGAGAAGCAAGGAAGGGGAAGAAGGACGAGGGAAGGTAATAAGGGGGGAGAGGAGGAGGAGTTAAGGAGAAGGAAGAAGGGGTTAGAGTAGTAGGAGAGGCAAGGAGGGGGGAAGGAAGAGTAGGGAGCTGGAGGAAGAAGAGGCTAGGGGTGGGAGAATCGAGGAGAGGGAGGGAGGACCTGAGAAAGGGAAGGAGGAGGAAGAGGGAAGGAAGAAAAGCCCCCTTTCAGCCCCCTCCTGGGAGTTGCGCAACCCGCTGGGCCGGGATTGGCCGCGGATGAGCAAGGACGCTCCGCCCTTCGGGCTCGCGGCCAATGGCCGAGGGGGCCGGGGCCGGGGCGGGCGGGGCCGGAGCGCGGGTCCGCATTGGGACTGCCGCGCTCTGAGCCGGAGCAGTGCCGTCCTTGCCGTCGCTGTCCCCGCCGCGTCCCCGCCTCCCGCCCGTCCCCGCCGCTTGCCCCGCTCTCTGACTCCGCGGCTTGGGCGCTCCGGTTCGCTTGCTTGCTTCTGGGGCGGGTCCTTCGCGGCGGCGCTGAGGCGATGGCCACAAGGATCGACAAAGAGGCTTGCCGGGCAGCGTACAACCTGGTGCGCGACGACGGCTCGGCCGTCATCTGGTGAGCGCTCTCCCCGGTCCACGCGGAGCCGAGTCGGGTGCTCCCTGGCCTTCGTCTGCATACCGTTCCAGGACCGCGCGGAGCCACTGCGCCTAGCGCCCTTAGATTCCCCGCTGGAGCGCTGCGCCGTTCAACCCCAACGCTGACGTGTGTTCTTTTCTTCTCCCAACCCAAAGGGTGACTTTTAAATACGACGGCGCCACCATCGTCCCCGGAGACCAGGGAGCAGAGTATCAAGACTTCATCCAGCAGTGTACAGGTAGGGGGGCGCGCAGGTCACCCCGGGGACGCGGCAGAGGCCGCACTGGGAGGAACAGGGTGGCTGCCACAAGTACCTCTGCGTGGGGCGTTGGAGGAGCCAGATTTGAGCATTTTAAAGCCTCATAAACAAAGACTTCCCCCTCTGGATATCCGGGGCAGCAGAGGTGGCCCGCCTGGCTTCCTTGCTTCCTGCAATACCCTCTCTAAGCGCAGGCGGGACAGTGCCTTTGCCCCCTGCGGATCACTGGTTTTCCACGATCAACTCTTCCAGTTCTAAACTCCAGCTTCAGCCTCTCCCCGCAACCCCCTTGGTGGGTCAGTGAGCCAGAATAAAGGCAAACTGGGGCTGCTGCCTGTGGAGAAAAAAACCATCAGTTACACTCTTCTTTCTCCCAGGATCAATGTCTGTGTGTGTGCTGATTATATTCATGTTTTTTATTTGAAGAATATAGAGCCAGATACAAAGGGTACACATCATCTGATTCCATTTGTATGAAATCCTAGAAAAGGCAGAGCTAATCTACCTCGTGGAAAGTTAGAACATCGCGTACCTCTTGGGGTTGAGAGTGACGGAGTGGGAGGAGGCAACGGCGGTTGGAAGTGTTCCACATTTTGATCTGGGAGATGGTTACATAGGTGTGCACATATGTAAAAAAATCTTCCAGCTGGATACTTAAGATTAGTGTAATTTACACACTTGTCTTTTGTGTGTGGAACGGTTAAAAAGGCAGAACATGTGGCGTGTATAACCTAAACCCTTGAATAGAGGTAAAAGACTCCCCATCATTGCTAATAGGAGCCTTTAAAGCTGAGGTTTGAGAACTCAAGTTTCTCTGGGTCTCTAGCTTGGAAACAGACGTTTTCAGACAAAAGGCAGCACAGCCTGGAGGTCAGGGCGTGTACGCAGAGCCAGATGGCCTGAGATTGAATCACAGAGTGACCGCTGCTTCCTACCTGTGTGGTCAGGGACAAATGACTTCACCACCCGGGGCCTTGGTTTCCTCATCCATAATCTCAGGACTGCTGTGAGAATGAGTGAGTCAACATGTCTAAAATGCGCAGCACAAGCTATGTGAAGTGTTGTATGAAACAAATAAATAGTACAAAAGTGTGCCAGGGATCATATAACTACTCCTTTCCTTGACTGCTTCCCTAACCAAATGAGATTTCACATTTAAATTCTATTCAAAGGATATTCATGAAGTGTCTGCTGTGGGCTGGATGGTACTAAGGTTTTTTTTAAATAAATGTTCCCCTAAGTAAAATTTCTCCCAGGAGTTACCTCTAGGTGTTTACTCATTGCTTTTGCAAAAGATTGGCTTAAAATATCAGAAGTGTAAAGTCTACAATAACTCACATTTCATAAGGTGACAGGGTCACAGTGTGGAGAGTTAGCGGGATAAGGATTTGAACCCAGGCCTCTGGCTCAGCAGTGAATGCTTTTGCAAGTGGAATAGTCCACAAACTTAACTTATCCCCCAATTGGGTGCACAACCAGGAGATTCAGCAGGGTTTTGGCTTGGCTGGCAGGCCAGCTTCCCTTCTCCCTGAACTCAGTGGTAGGGGTGGCAGTAAGCAAGTGGCTTTTTTCTTCTGCTGGTCACCCATCCACCCCCCACCCCCCCCACCCCATCAGATTGAGTTTCATCCCTGAAGCTGTTGTTCTCAAAGTAGGAGAAGGTGACCGAGGAAGAAAGGACTTCCTGCCAAAAGATTCCTAGCAGATGCTCTTGGCCTTTGGGCATCCGCTTACCCTGTGGCCAGAGAGCATTTCCTTCCTCCCTCAGGCTTTGTGGTTTTCTGCTTAGACCCTTCCCCTGAGGACAAGGACAAGGACGAGGACGAGGAGGGGAGTGGGGAGACCTGGCGGGAGCTGAAAATGCTTCCTGGCTGCTTGTTGATCCTCATGAGTGGGCGGGGGGTGGGGGGGTGGGGGGCAGATCTGAAGCCTCTGTCTGCTTCAGCTGGAAGTCTGCCTTCCTTCCCAAGCCATCTGTTGAACAAATGTGTAGGCAAGTTGTGGTGGCCGTGTCTCCTCTAGGAAAACCTTGTTCCTTCCCCCTGCCACAGCCTTGTAAACCAGTGACAGTGGAATCAAAACCACAACTAGTCACTTTACCCAGGACTGCTGTTTGCCAACCACCGCACTTGACCTGTCAAACCAGCCCTGGGTGCCAGGTAGTGAGATTGGGTCCCTTCTACAGATGAGGACACTGAGGCCCAGAGAGGTTAAGAACTTGCCCAAGATCACACAGCTAGGAGGAAGCACCGGCAGTCTGGCTTTGGAGCCCATGCCCCTGGCCTCTTCCCTTTAAGGCAGTGGTTTAGATTCTCATCTCCGATCCGTGAGGCTTTTTCAGTGGTGTGGCAGGTTCTGGTCTGGGCTTTTGGGATTGGGTGAATGTTATAAAAGATTACAAAAGACATGTTTGCTTGCTTGTGTGGTGCAGGGCGAGGGGGGGTGGGGGCCTTTGTGGCCAGTTTTCAGCCAGGATCCTGGCCGTACTGATGGTCCCACACTGTCATCATAGAAAGGCTCCTGCTCTGGCTCTGGCTTTCTGTTTCCAAAGGTCTACTCACAGGTGTGTAGGGGGCTGCAAAGGCTGCAAACAGCACCCAGTCCTCTTCCTCCTTCAGCCCCCCTCTCCCCTGGGCTGGCAGTCCCTTTCCAGGAGCTCTCCCTCCTATATACCCTCCTTCCCCTCCCCTCTTTCCTAGGCTACTGTCTTCTGCCCAGGTGTTTTCCAGAATAAATCTACCTTCCAGCCTCCGCTTCTCCTGGTCCTCAGCCCCCAGGCTGGCCTCTGTTCCACTGGAGCTATTTGCTGGAAGGTCTCCTGTGTCTGGGCTGTGGTGTTGTACCTTTGCTCAGCACTTATCTGCCTCTTTCTTTGTGCTGGTGAGATTCGGGGCCTGCTGGGGGCCCTGTTTAAAAGTGATATCCTGGGTGCTGGGCGCATCTGCTCCCTCCTGCCGTGCCTCTGCAGTCAGCTCTGGCCCTGCAGCCCTGTGCACGCATGCTGGTCAGTGCCCTTTCAGGAGCAAGTGAGAGAAACCCCACTCAACCCAACTCAGGTTAGCCTAGGCAAAAAGTCAGTCTGTAGTTTACAGGGTTGAAAAATCCAGGGGAAGCACTTGCTGCAGGTCAGGCTGCAAAAACTCAAAACCCCTCTTCCCACCTCTGAGCTCTGCCTCAACCTTCATCTCCCGTCTTGGGGTGGGTGGGGTGATTCTCTCTGAGGGGTGACACAGATGCCACCACCAGCTCCAGATTCCAGCCCACCAGCAGAGCCATCCTGGCAGAGAGTCCCTCTTTGCCAGTGATTTCAGCAGAAGTCCCCGAACTGACTCTCCTTGACCTGGCTGGGGACATGTGCCTATTCTTGAACCAGTCACTGGGACTCTGGCTGGCCAGGCCTGGATCACATGTCCACCCCTGGAGCTGAAGCTGGAGCTGGAGAGGGGGGGAGGTAAGCCCTACTGAAACCAGGAGACAGATTAGAGGAGGGTTGAATTCCTAAGGGAAGAAGGGGAACAAACCAAAAACAGATGTCCATGCCCCTCAGCCTCCTTGCCCTCTCTTCCTCTTTACAGCAGTATTCTATATCCTTTTGCCAGAGTAGGTCTTCCTAAAGCACCTCTCTAATCAAGCCATTCCCCCGCTCATTAACCTTCTATGGCTCCCCTCTGCCATTGAATTAAGCCCAGGCCGGGCTGATTGGCATTGCAGACTGTCATCTCTTGCCCAATAGCTCCCACACCCTTCTTTGTGTACCTGCAGCCCAACACTGTAACCATCCCCTGGCATCTCCATCACTCCCAGTCTTGGTGCCTTTTGTTCTGGGAGTTCTCTCCATGTGGATTCCCTCTTCCCCATCTCAGTCCATGGAAACCCTGCCCACCTACGATTCAGCCACCCAGCTTAGTGAGATCTCTTCTTTTTTCAATTGTACTTTTTTGTTACAAAAAGGGATCAGACTATAGATACTATTTTACAGTGAACTTTTCTCCCCTTAACTGTAACTTCTGAGCATCTTCTTGTCTTAAGCTCTTCTTCTGCAGCACTTTTAAAATGGCTACATAGTATTTGTCTGTATAAATGTAACATTGTTTTACCAGTCCTCTATTGATGGACCCCAAAGTACTTTGTTGTAAGCAGTTTTATTTTGGAAAGAATCCAGGCACCTGGGAATGCATCCAGTTTTCTGATGGTATAGAGTTGAGAGGCGATAATATCCTAGTGGTTAAGAGCTTTGATGGTGGAACCAATATCTGACCTTGAACTGCAGTCTTGCAGCACTCTTGCTGTGTGACCTTGGACAAGTCTCCCAGATTCTCTGTTTCCTCACCTGTAAGATGGGGATAGTAATTACACATAACTTGCAGGGTTGTTGTGAGGATAGATTGACATGATACACGTAAAGCTCGTAGGCCACTGACTGGTAAAAAGTAAGTGCTCAATAAACGTGTTTATTATTAGTGGAGTACCTACTACTTTGTGCCAGAAATGAAGTTGGATTAATTTTTTAAAAGCGATATCCTGAAGGGCTAATGAGTTTGTTTAAAGTGCCTTTGTAGTTTTCTAATTAATTCAGTCTCCTATTGCTGGCTTTCCTACCTGCCTGTCTCTGGGAGGTCTTGAGCCACATGGCATGGCTTCCTTGTGTCATAAGGTGCATGGGCTTTGTGACAGCTCCTTTGGCTGACCTCTTGGTGATATTTGTGCTTACTTTTGTGTTTGTACCTGTGTCTCCCATGGTGAAGTTTGCTACATGTCCCCCTACCTGATAAGTAGAGTGTCCCTCGTTCAGAAAAGGTTTTCAATAAATATTCTTCATGGCAACCCCATGTGTTACAGAGTAGAACTGTGCTCCATAGGGTTTTCTTAGCTGTAATCCTTAAGGAAGCAGATTGCCAGGTCTTTCTTCCTCAGTGCTGCTGGGTAGGTTTGAACCTTCAACCTTCAGGTTAGTAGCTGAGTGCAAACTGTATCACACA